TTTCATATTTAAATTCTAAAATAATATTAGAAAAGTTCACAAGCTTTTAAAATCTCATAAATATAAATTTTTAAATTACACACCACTCGACTAATTGGAATTTTTATTTCATTTGTGAGTTTGCTTGCAGAGTGACTGCTACATAAAACTGTGATTTCCTACTAAGAAACTAGGTCAATCCAATCTTTTTTATTTGGCAAAACCGGAGATTGAACTCAGGTCCTTGCGCTTGCCAGGGAAGCGCTTATTCCACTGAGCCATCTCCCTGGCCCTGGTCAATTCAATCTTTAAAACCATTCTAACCACCACCATCCAATTTCCTGAGAACACTAGGGATTGTGTTTTACACTAATTACACACAGGTGTAATCTAAAAATTGTCCTCAATTTATGACTTTCTCTTTCCAAAAGCTCACATTTTAATGTTTTGACTGAAAAACTCAAAGCTTAAAAATATTTGCATATAAACTCACTACTCTTTCTCACCTGTTTCTACCTCTATCATTCTCTCAACAGAAATTTGTACATCTATATTATACCTTGATGTAAATAAGCTGATCAGCCTAAGTCCCAGTTATCAATTGCTATGTAACAACCATTCTGATAATATGGTGGCTTCAAATAGCAATAATCATCATTTTGTTCATAAATCTGCAATATGCAAAGGGCTCAACAAGAAAATCTAGTCTATGCTCCACATAACATCAGCTGGGGCTGCTCAACTTGGGACAGCAAAGTGATGTTTACTACTAGCTGAGAGCTCAGCCAGAGCGAGGACCAAAGTCTTTGGTACTTTTAAAGGGATGCTAGATTCCAAGAGAGTATCAAAAGAGGATTAACCATATTACTTTTTGTGACTTAACCTTGGCAATAATACATAATATCTGCTGTAGCCACAAGCCTACCTAGACACAAGAAATATGCACAGACCCTCCCTCTTTATAGTGTGGGTGTTAGTCTTACTGTAGGTTGGCAGATCTTGTGGACATCAGAAAAACATAACTTTCCATTGTGTAATTCTCTCCTACCATATCATCTATCTCTTGGATCATTTCTCCTTAGTCTACTTTGAAAAGCTTTTCTTCCCTGATACTTTTTTCCTCTTCTTAATCCATTTAAATTGAAAGTGGAGCTGCCACTTAATTTAAAAAATAGCAACCACTCATTTGAATTATTCTTTTAAGCAACTTCTTAAGGTAATCTTCAAAATAAGGTTCCCTGTTTAGGGCTAGGGTTTTATAAGTGAGAAAACTGAAGCACAAGACCACCAACTGAAAAATAGAGCTAAGAGATGTCATTCTTTCCCTAGTCTAAGTCATCAAGCAAAATAAATTCTTGAACTGCTACGTAACTAGCTAAGGCCTCTTTCTGAGCTACTAATTTGTATCTGCGATTGCCTCTTGGACTTCTTCACAGACTATCTTGTTAAAAATTTAAATATAACATACAGCATTGTGCCTGCCTGGCAAGTGCAGAGTTCAACTCCGGATTAAAAAAAAAA